ACTGTGACTCCACTGCATCTAGCTCAAGGGGATCCCCTTCCAACCCAAGATCCTGCACCCCAGGTATGGACATTGGAGTCACCCTTGCTTCAAGGGGGTCACTGGAAGGGAGGGTGGCTCTTGTTGCATGTGCTGCAGCTCAGTGGGAAAAGCTTTCTTCAGTCCAAGAGTTTGGGAATTCCTGGGCTTTGCCAGACATTGGTGGTCATGATGTTCATTCCACATCTCATCAGATGCATAAAAGATGGAGATGACACTGAAGCATGGGGGGAAATGTTATTCTCCACAATACTCTAGTTTAAGGCAAGGAAGAGCTTTTTGGTGATAGCATTGTTCATAAACTAAAAGAGTTTTTAGGGTTTTTTCCTTTTGGGGTGACCTGAGTTTCTAGTTTCTGGAGGTCACAGACCTGTGGATTTGAATGCAATTTGAATCAGGGGGGCCCAGAGCTAAGACTGAGCCACATGTCAACTTGCCCTTCGCATGGTCCAGCCAATTTCTCCATTCCATTTGTAGATCCATTTAACCAATTAATTAAGTGCCTGAAGAATTTATACTTCTAAAATTTCTGCCATCTCTGCCTTTTTGGGAATCTGTCAATTTATTGGAGATGATAATGGCTTGTCCTGCAAACATGGGCCTTTGTGCTAGAGACGAGTTTCTTCAAAATCTCCATGAAAGAGATGGCAGAGCACATAAGAGTTATTCGACAGAAAATAGGACATGAAGTCAGAAGCATTGGCTCTGGAAGGGGGGATGGAAGACCAAAATTGTCACTGTTTAAATTGTTTTACAGTCATTTAAGATATGTTTTACTATTAATATTTAGTCTTAGTCAACTGCAATATTTATGATATCAAGCTATACCAAATAAAATATCAGATTTCACTCCAATTTTCATACTCGAACGACAACACACACATTCGTCATCTCGGCTTTATCATTTTGATTATAATACAGCTTGTTATGCCCTTATGATGCCATAATATCTTTATTTATTGGTTCAGAAAGTCTACGATATGAAGTCTCATTCATAAATGGTCATTTCCAACATTTGTTCATTCAACAACTATTTAGTGAGCCACTGCGGAGGTCCAAGCTTGGTCTGCACTAAGAATACAGGGAGACTAGGACTCAAGTTCTGTTGGACTCATTAACGCCACGCAATTTCTCATTGCTCAGCCTAACAGCACCTATGAGACTGGCTCTGACCACTTCTCCTACTCTTTCCTTATTCTTTCCTTCTGCCTGTCTCCTATGGCCACACTTGAGGTTACTTGAAAACACCAACCTATTCTTACCCCAGGGCCTTTGCACTTGTGGTCTCCTCCTCTTTGAATGCTATTAAGTCTTTATCCAAAATATCACTTCCTCAAAGACAATCCTATTTAAAGGGAAATCTCTTCCTCTCCCCTTCCACCCAGTCACCCCTCATCCTGCGTTATTTTTCTCCAGAGCACTGCTCACCCCCTGAACTATTTTATCTTTGCTTATGTTTTATTTTCTGTCTCCCCTGGTAGAGCTTGGGCAGGAAGTTCGTCTTTTCAGCAATGTATCCCCAGAGCCTAGAACAAGCTGGCATGTAACAGATGTCTACACAAATTTGGAGAATGAATGAATGAAGGAAGGAAGGAACTGGTTCTTCACAGTTAAGGGTGCTTGGTGAGCTGGCTTTGCAGGAGGAATCATGACAGTCTCTGTCAGATCCACCGCCCTCCCCCACTCCTCCTCCTGCCCTCACCTGCTGTTGGGCTCTTTCTGTGACTGGCATCCCTGGCCACTCAGTCTCAAGCCTTGCCATCATTTATTCCTCCCTCCCTCTAGCTCCCACATCTAATCAGTGGCCAATTTTGGTGACATTATGGCCTCTTACATCAACTCCCTTTTCCACCCATTCTTACAACTGCCCCCAGTCCAGACCCTCATTTCTCACCTAGAAATATTCTCACCTAGAAAAATTTCTCACCTAGACCATTGATATCGTTCCTTACCTGGGCTTCCTGCCAGCAGGCTCTTCCCCTCCAATCTGTTCTCCACTGAACAGCCAGAGTGACTTTCCTCATGGTCAAGTTCGATCATCTTTCTTCCCCACTCAAATACTAAAGACCAATCCCTTAGCTTGGCACTCAGTGGCCCCTCCCCAACTGCCTCTAACTTCCTACTCAGCCTTTCTTCTTACAACTCTTCTTTTATCCTTGTTGCCCCAATTGGCATGAACTGCTTTCCAATTTCTGTACTGTCCTAGGAGCCCCCACTGCCCATCCGTTCTCTGCTCATGCTATTTCCATTCCTTGAAATATTTTTCCTCCTTTCTTCTAATGTACAAATCATTCAGACCCAGCTCAAATGCTGCCTAACTTTTTCAAAAAGCCATTCCTGATCTAGAAGAATAAAATCTTGCCTTTATTCTCAACTCTTTTTAAGGGGTTATCTGTCTCTCTTTTAGGGCAACTATCAGGGAAGGACAGGCAATATGATGCAGATGAAAGAATTCAGAATCTGCACTCAGATCATCTGAGCTGGAGGCCTCACTCTCTGAGACTTTTAAGGTATGAACCCTTAGATAAGTTAAACTCTGAGTCTTAACTATGCTATCTGTAAAATGGGTATCATAACACTATTGCTATCACGAGTGTGTTACAAGGAGTAAGTATAAGTGCCAGAGAGTACAAAAAGCTTTCGACACTATTTAAAGATTAAGTTATATGATGCTAAGGTGCAAAATAACTGATAATCACAAGTGCTGCTCCTCCCAGGGAGGTTCCATGGATGTCTTATGCTGACTGAGCCCTAAGTCCAGGAATAGGTCAGTGGGGGAGAGATATTTTTTTAGGAGGGAGAATGTTAGGCCCTAAAATCCCAAGTCTTTGGATGATCTAAAGATGGGAAGAAGTGGAGGACTTATTCAGCTTTATATATAAAGCTGGGGCCCTAATGGTATTACTAGCTACCAATTCCTGAGGTTTTTTTATGCCCCAGGCATTGTGTTAAGTGCCCTACATACATTAGCTCTTTGAGTCAGGAATTATTCCCTCACAGAGTAAAAGAAGCCTTGTAGCAGTTACATAAATAAGTGTTCTCCTTCCCCTCTCCCCCCCACCTTCAATAAATAGTTCAGATCTGAAAGATCTCTGGAAAATCTCCATCCAATGATCTTATTTTCTGGATGGAGAAACTGAGACCCAGAGAGGTTATGAGCATTTACTGAAACTGTACAGCCAGCAAGGAAGACATTGGGCCCGGAACCCAGATCTCTTCGCTCTCAGGATAGAAACCTCTGCATGGCAAAAACCCAGGGGCTGCCATTCATTATGAAGTCCATGTAAGTGGCACCTCGTGGAGCACAACAGCATCTACGTGGACGATAACGTCAGCGACGGCCCCTGGAGGTATGCCACGTGACCACATTGGCTGTGCTCCACACCAGGCTGCTCACCCCACTCAAGAACTCAAGAAGGAAGTTCTTGAGAAAAGAGCCTCAGGCCCCTAGAGACTGAACACTGCCCTCCTTGCCAACTACACTACCCAGAGTCTCCTCGAACGTGACTGACATCATCCCTTCACCATCCATCTATGCTTGTACTCCTTCCACACACCTCTCGGGGCACCCTCTCTGCACCAGGCATCGGGCTCAGCTCTGGGGACACCCTGCTGTCCTTGAGGGAGCCCTGTGCTGAGAAACCACCAGAGCCTGGTGTGGTTGTAACTCAAGCTTCCCCAGCAGCTCTGTTAGCAACACCAAGAGGCTGCACTCAACAAACACCAAGGAGGAAGAGGTGGCCTGGCATGAAGGACTTGGGGACCTCCACAGAGGAGTGACAAAAGGAGCCTGGTTGGATTAGAAGACCTGGGCCCTGAAGGACAAGGGGAGAGTGACTGGGAGGGCATGCAGTTGGGTCATAGTCGGGGAAAGAGGATGAATCCTTGAATGCCAACCACATCACCTGGTCCAGCTGAGGACACTCAGGGTCAGGGGCTCTTAGGAGGATCAGGACTAACAGCCCAGCGTCTGATCTCTGGGCCAGGGCTTCTTCATTCCCCCAACCTAAGTCCCAAACCTGAGTACTGGCATAAGAGGGCTCTCCTTTGAGGGTGAAGTACATTAAAGGCCAATCTTTTTTGTTGTTGTTTGTTTTTGAATGGCACCTGCAGCTTCACGTGGGGGCAGGGCTGGAATTACAGACTCTCACGGTACACTCAGGTGAATTTTGGGGTTCTGGCAATTCAATGGGGATAGGATCTAGTTGAATGGGGAAGGAAATGGGTATGAAAGCCAGGGACCCCAGATTCTAGTGAAGGCTTTGCCACTAACTCTCCAGTGACCTTGGTCAAGACACATTACTGGGCCTCAGTTTCCCCAACTGTAAAGTGAGGGGGTTAAATGAGCTCCCAAGGTTCCTCTGGTCCTGACCCTCTAAGCCAAGTGATCCATGATAAGGTAAGCCCCCCAAGGCTCTGACCCGGGCAATTTCAGGGTTTTGCAGGAGTCTGGGCCTCATCCAGTAAAAATTGGCATGCTGGGGGAGGGGAACGCACTAGGCTTTTATTTTGAGGGTGGGTGGGACGCGGGCGCTAAAGCTAAAGGGTCGGGGGAGGCGAAGCGATGGGAAGGCTGGGAGGCGCGGTTCAGAGGCCAGCAGGCTGGCGGCGATTTCCAGCCTCCTCCAGGGGTCCTGACTCCGGAGAGGCGATGCAGTCAAGAGCCGCGCACTAGCTTCGACCGCAAACTCGGACCCGGGACCGCTATCCCGCTCCCTCCCGGAACCGCGCATGAGCTTCGTGGGGAGTGGCCGCCGCTCGCTCCCGGCTACCAAGCGCCGAGCCCCCTCCCCCAGTCTGGGGGCGTCGGGAGCCCCATGGGGGCGTGGCGGGGGCGGGCGCCGGCTCCTCGGCCGGGAAGGCTGAGGGAGGTCTTCGTTGCAGGGCAGCCCCGGGAGGGACCCGCGCCCTCCACCTTCCGGATCCCCACACAAAGGCGCCGACGGAGGCGCCGCACTTACCGGCCAGAGCGGGCTCCGGGCGCCGGCGGGCGGGCGGGCTGGCAGGCTGGAGGGAGGCTGTGTGCGCGCGAGTGTGCGTGTGTCTGCGTGTGTCCCTGTGTGTGTCTGTGCCAGTGTGTGTGCGACGGGGGCCGCGCCGAGCTCTGTGCGTCTGCGTGTGCGGGGGCGTCCGTCCGTCGGTCCGTCCGCCCGGCGCTCCGTCCCGCGCTCCGTGCGCGCTCCCTCGCCCGACCGCCCTAGCAAATGCGCCTCGGCGGCGGAGTCACCGGCGCAGCCGCCGGGTCTGCCGGCTCCCCCCAGCCCCAGCTCCGCCCCGCCCCCGGGCGGGCTTGCGCCGTTCCCCGGGAATTGCGCAGGGCCCGCGGGGCTGGCGGGGTGGGGGGCGGGGAGCTCCGGCAGCGCCCAAGGCCCGAGGGATTCTGATCGCAGACCCTTACCCGCTGACCGCATTTCAGGTGCCCCTCCTCTCCCAGCAACTCTGCCCGGAGTCCCCGCAGGCATCGCCCCCACGCCAAGGTTGCCTGGACCGGGAGGGCGGGGGAGTGGAAGCACCGCATACATTTCATTCATGATTTTTCTCTTCCCGGGAGCCCCAGTCCGGGCTGCGCTGCCACGGCGACCGCCAGAGGGACCCAAGCCGGGCCGGGCGCGCTGAACCCGGGGCGGGACAGACAGGCCGACCGAGGGGAGTAGGGGCGAGCGAGACAAAGAGGTCAGAGCGGGGGGAGAGTGCGCTGCACTGGGGGGGGGTGCTGTGGCGCTCCCCTCTCGATGCCCACACCTGCGCACGGGGAGCGGCCGCATAACCTGGCGCACGCAATGCCGGGTACCCGGGACCGGTTCCAGGAGTCGGCAGAGGCGAGTGTTTTCCCACTTCTCCTTTAGCTTCTGGGGAGCAAGAGCGAGTGGACAGCCATCCCTCCACGGGGGTCTTGTCCTCCTGAAGCGCGTCACGGGGCGCGCACCTGTCTTGGCTTTCTCGTAGGTGCTAGCGGCTTGGACGCCAAGGAGCTGCCCATGCACCCCACAACCCCGCATTGTTCATGCTGTCACCCCGATGGCCGGAGGTTTCCGACATTCCATCCTGATGGGAGCTTTCCGAAGCTTTGGGCTGCACCCAGGGCAGGGATCCCAAGCTCTATTTTTACACGGGGGAGCTGAGACAACCACCACACAGCTACCACCCTGGTTCCTACCACCACCCTCCTTTGCTTGGATTTCAGCCATAGCCTCTTTACTGGTCTCTCAGCTTCCACTTTTGGCCCCCTGCAGTTGATTCTCTACACAGCAGTCAGAGCGATCCTTTTAAAACGTAAGTCAGATTGCGTTATTCCTTTAGTGGAAATCCCACAATGGCTCTCCATTTCATCCAAGTGAAAGCTAATGCCCCCATAATGACCTGCAAGACCCTTCGTGAGGTGGTTCCCTTTTAACTCTCTAACCTCTCTTCCTACCACTCTCCCCATTCCTCCCACACTCCAGTCGCCCTGGCATTTTTTAATGCATCACCAACATGGCAGCTGCGCTGTGGCCTCAGGACCTTTGCACTGCTATTCTCTCTGCCTGGCATCTCTTCCCCCAGATAGTCACTCCTTTATCTCTTCAATATGTCATCTCTGAGAGATCTTCTGTGACTGTCCTATTTAAAATTACAGGCCCACTCCCATTTAATCCATGGTAGTTATGACCTTTATTTTGTTGTTCCTTGTCCTTTAGGCTCACTGGCCTTTCTCCGTCAGCCTCCTCCTCAGACGCCTCCCATCCCATCCTCCAGCCTCGCCAAACCATTCCGTTCTCTAGACAAACCCTGTATTTTCCCATCTCTAGGCCTTTGTTCATGCTGTTCTTTCAGCCTGGAATGCCGTCCTCTCAGTCTTGACTAATGCTGGCTTAAATACCACCTCCTCCATGGAGCCTTCTCTGATATTCCCAGGGACACTCCGCCCTCATTGTTTTCTGTCTGCTGTGACAGTGGTCTCTTGTCTTTTCCCCCAGGTGCGCTGTGAACTCCTGGGAGGTGGGGCTGGGTATCTTCTCTCTCCTGAGCTCCCTGCACAGACAGGCCCATCAGTACGAGTCTGTGGACCAAGGGCTCTGATCAGAATGCCGTAGGCTGGGCTTTGACAGTCTTTTTTCTTCCCGAGAGGGGCAAGAGCCCACCTAGATCTCTGTGTTACCCTCAAGGAGTGTCCCGTGGAGGGGAAGGGAGGAACAAATGTCAGATAACCAGGCCTTTCTGCTTGGGATGTATGGAAGTGTGGGTAGATGCGTCAGCCAGTGCGCAAGGACCTGCTCTTCCTCTCTGACGGTGCCATCACCGCCGATCACATAAGGCTGATTTTCCCCAGACTGCGTCACTGTAACAATAGCAGCTGCCGTAAATGAGCACTTTAGTACTTGCCAGGCACCGTTCCGTCTGTTCTCAGTGCTCTGCTCTGTTTAATCTTCACGGCAACTTTGGGAGGTAGGCATTTTGATGTCCCCAATTTCAGAAGAGGAACCAGAAAGAATAAAAGTGACTGACTTAAGGTCACTTAAGGGGTGCATGTTTCAAATTCAGATTTAGCCAGTTCCCAGTTCTTAGAAGCAGGGATGGCTTAGCAGTGAATGCCCTTGGAGCTGATGGAGGGAAGGGGAGGAAGAGGGGCTTGGAGAGTTTCACAGTGTCAGCCTGGTCCAGATTTTTGCTGTCCCTAGCTCAGAAGTCACATGGCACTCCAAGTGGGCTAGTACCTTTCCTGTTAGTGTTGCCTGCAATGTCCCGTGGTGGAGGCTAGTCGTTGCCCTTCATAAAGGCAGCTTTGGAAGGCTGAGCTGCCTCCCAGACTCTCCCAGCTATGTGCTCTGAGCTCAAAGCCCAGCCCCAGCTGTCAGATGTGGATGATAATGCCCATCTCAAAGGGCTATGGTGAGGAAGAGGTGTGATAACATCTCTAGAAAGTAGTAGGGGCACAAAAAATGATCATGCTCCATTGATGTGAGTTTCTATCGGATAGGGATATAACTAAACTAGTCTTTTCACCCTGTTTCTGCCCTTGTACAACCTCTTATTGAAGAGCATTACCCAGGACGCAGCACAGTGAAGGAAAGAAAGTCTAGCATTTATTGAGGGCTTTAAAAATAAGCTATTTATGTTCCTTTCCTGCATTTTCTCCTTTAATCTGCACAAGCACTTTAGGAGGGAGGTACTTTTATTATCAACGAGGAAGCTGAGGCAGAGAGGTCTGGGGGCTTTCCAATGGCCACGGAGCCCACTAATTAATGGCAGCAATGAGATTCTAGCCTGGTTCTAGTCTGACTCTGTTCACTTAGCCAGCACCCCTGTCCCCTAGCCCTATCATCATGGAAAGTGGCTCCTTTGATTTCCTTTCTCTTCTCTGATGAAGAAGGAGAGTTTTATGAGGTCCATGGCAGTGAAGCAGTTATGAGGTTGGGAAGATTTAGGAAGACTATTGAGTCATTTTGTGTAGCTCATTTACCATCTCTTGATGGGGGGAGAAAGAAGGGTTTGAGAAAGAGGCGGAGGGGGAGAGAAAGATGGTCTGAGAAACCCAAGAGTGTCTCACCAGTGGTTTTTGATGGACTGTTGAAGATTAGAGTCAATATTTCTTGCATTTGGCCTTGCTTGCAATTCACTCTATTGGTAATGAAATGTTTTGCTTCAGTGGAAATGTTCCTCTATCCAGATTTTTATTTATTTGCTTACTTATTTATAACCCACCCCAATCCACAAAGGACTTGAGGTAGCTTACCACAGGAGCAGAAACCATAAAACAATGGTGAAATATCAACAAGGGTAAAGAATCAGGACCAAGGAAAATGTAAATAAACTTTGAGAGACGAGACGAAGGCTCAATAATTACAGCTGGTTTTTATCGAGTTCTTCCTGTGTGCAAAGGAATCTGCGTACATTATTTCATTAATCCTTAAAAGAGTGCTATGAGGTAAGTACTATTATTATCTTCATTTTGAAGCGCAGGGAGCTGACGATCGGACAAATGAACATGATGCCCCGAGCTATGTAGCTAAGTAAGCGGTAGAGCCAGTGTTCGAATTCAGGTTGGTATTGGAACCCATGTCCTTAACCACTGGCCCGGTCTGTCTCTCCCAGGGACAAAAGACAGGAGGCTCTAGAGTACTGTGCTTTAGCCTCAAATGTGGTTCTGATCATCTTGGATGCCAAAAAGCAAGGGATGCAGTCAGTTACATAGAACAGACCACCCTTACATCCTTCAAGTTTTTGCTCAAGTGTTATTTTCTCAGTGAGGCCTACCTACCCTGACATCTCTCTACTTACCACTGGAGCCTGCCTCTTCCTGCTTGCTTCAGGAGTCCCTAGTCTCCTTTTATCTTTTCTTTTATAATGGCTCATTTTACCTTCTAACATATTGGATAACTTTTTTATGAACTATGTTATAATATTGTATAGTTTTATATTGTATATTTCTTATAAGATAGTCTAGAATATATTCTATATTAATACATTTATGAATTATAAGTTAGATATTCTATTTAATATATTCACTGTTTAAATGTCTGTCTTTTCCCACTGGAATACACATGGGTAGGCATCTTTACCTGTTTGGATCACTGATATATCCTAATTGTGTAAGACAATGCCTGGCATATAGTAGGTACTCAATAAACTTTTGTTGAATGCCAGAATGATTATTTTGGAGGGGAAGAAACAGACCAATATAGCTGAAGTGGCAAAGGAAGCCACTTTTTTTTTTTTTTTTTTGCTAGCTCATACTTTCTTTTCTTTCCCTTCTCTTTTTTTCCTCCTTTTCCCCTACACACTTCCAAAAAATAATTTGAAGTAGCTGTAGAACTTAGCTCTGAGAGCAAATTTTCAGGAGGGTTTTCTGATGGTAGACCCTCAGGGTTTGTGTGGCCAGCGACATTTGTGTTATTGTTAGTGCAAATGGGTAAATGGGATTCAAGAACCTAATTTGGGTTGGATCTCAAAATGAAAGCTGTGTATTTTCCCCACACCTAAATTAGCAAAGGCAATCCTTTTAGGGGTCTAGCAATAGTGCCCACGTGTCATAGCTCAAGGATTTGGGATTTAGAGTGAATGCTATAGGGAAAATAAAAAGCAGAGGTTCTTTTGTAAAACAATTGATTTAAAGGGAAAGGGTATCCTGGTGTTCCTAAGAGCTCACCTCTGGAGTCTAATTTCCTGGCTGCAAGCCTGAAGAGTGAGCAGCCAAGGACGTTTGCAAGGTTTCTTAGAGGAGGACCTTAGCTGAGACCAATTGCTGGG